TCATCAAAGAATCCTGGAAAATAAAATGTCTCACGGTTTGTACAAAAATATGAAGCAGCACAACTGTTTTCAACATTGATAATAATCAGAAATGGTTCTTAAGCAGCAAATCGGCATATTAGAATGATTTCTGAAGATCATGTGACACTATAGCTATGTTTCCATCCACCTGTTTTTATGCACATTTTGGGATATTGCATAAAAAATAATGCTGGATGGAAACGCCAAGATGCGCATAAATTCTAAAAATGCGCATAAAAAACTTATGCGCTCAACTAAGAATGTATAATAAGAAAACATGCGCATAAACTACGATGGAAACACATTTACCCGAATAAATTCCTTAATGCAAAATTCATGTGATGCTAGAAATGCTGAAATGCTAGTTATGTCATTCTAATATGCTTGAGCAAAGTCTTGTCAAAGGTTGTTTGTTGAAGAACTGCGTTCCCAAACAGCAGACTCCAAAAATAGCATAAATGACATGACCACGTTTTGTCTGCACACTCTGAAGCTCGTAATTTATTGTATACACAAATTATTATATACAGTGCCTTCTCCTACTGCAGCAAATGTAGTTTTTCTTTATGATACATAGCACAAGTTAATCAGGAAGTGACCATTTTTCCCCCCTGGATGGAAACAGTGCTTTATTCGCAAATGTTTTATGCGATATTCCAATTTTGTGCTTAAGTTTAATTCGTAACTTTGGATGGAAACATAGCCACTGAAGACTGGAGTAATGATGCTGAAAATTCAGCTTTGATCACAGCAATAAATTACATATGACAATATATTCAGATAGAAAATAGTTATTTTAAATTGTAATATTTCACAATATTAAATTTTTTATGTATTTTGATCAAATAATTGCAGCCTTGGTGAGCAGAAGAGACTTTTTTTTCATAAACATTAAAAAATATTTTCAGCGCTCCCCAAACTTTTGAACAGTAGTACAGTGTTCAACCTCGCTGTAAAAATTGTGTTTACTTGCCAAAATTTCAGAGAGAAAACTTAAAGTACACTACTTAAGTCTTGTACCTTTGTCTTTTTTTGTTGATATATACATTGATCAACAAATACATTTTTCAAGTACATTGATTATCATATTGCAATACGTTGATTCAACTCACTTGGTTTTATTCAAAGCTTAGAATTTATTAGAATGTTTTTTTCGAAAAACAAACACTAAATGTTTATTTTGTAGAAACATCACTAAAAGTCTCCCACATTTCTGTTGCCGTAATTTAAGTGTGAAAGTGCTAAAATAAAACACCATTACTGTAACTTCTCATCTACACACCTTTCTGTATGTGACAGATTGCTAAATCGACTGCATTTTTAAACGTTACCGTAACACATGGGTTTGACGCTAAATATGAACATAGATGTGATCATGTGATGTTGGACTTGACAGGTTGCAAGACGCATACAGAAGTGTTGAGACGTCCTGCAGGAGATGTTTGGAGCATTGAGCAGGCCGCTCATCTGCACACTTGTTTTCTTGTGCAGTGGTTAAACTGACCTGTGCTCACTGGAGAAAAACACCATTAGAGCAAACTCTCTCATTCATACACAGAAACAACAGTCACGCTGTGCTCGGGCCTGTTAGCAGCTCTCACAAACCCTGACAACACCAAACACACACTCTACCGCAGAAACACACTCATGCCTTCTGGTATCTACCTGTCACAGGATTAGTGTTCAACACAGACAGCGGTGTTTGTCTCAAAAACACAGTCTCAAAAACGTAGTCAACTGCCTTGCTCACTACATAGGCAGCTGCCCTTTAAGACAAAACCATAACTGAAACTATAATATACTTTACCAGATAATAAACTTTAACATAATAAAGTGTTGATTGTCTAACGCTATACATAAATCGAAAGACTGAAAAAAGTGCTTCTGTTGAGTCTCAATACACAACTGATATTAATAGGTTTAGACTATAGGGCTAGGCAATTAATACATATTGATATTTATCAAAAATAATAAACTTGAGTAATTTTAAATATTTATCCTACATCTAGACAATCAGGTATGTCTCGCTAAAGTCTAAATTATCTGCTTGTGTGAATAAGTGGCGCAGATTCTTCTACTACAAATATTCAAGTTAAACCGCCAAAAGAAAAGATTTTTATGTATTCAGAAATACATAAGATGCACTTCAATATATATATATATATATATATATATATATATATATAAATACAATTTTTAATTAAATATATAATTGTAATAATATAAATAAAATATATTATTATTATTATTAATGTCATACAACCAATATGTTTTTCATCCATGTTTTATTTTTAAATTACAAATTATAATTTACAAGTAGTTCTGTTGTGCAGCTGTTAGGGTAACAACGAGGCTGGATTCAGGTGCAAAAAGTACGAAAGCAACTTATTGTGAGCTAATGAGAAATGCATTACGCACTATAGAGATGGGGAACTGATAAAATATGCACCTTGAATGCAATGTAAGTTGCTGTGGATAAAAGCATCCACCAAATTTGTAAATGCAAATGAATTTACATTTTGTCTCTGGCCCTGTCATTTTCATTTAAATCTTTAGTTTCTCATTATATGCATGCACAGATGTAGCAATTCTAACGTCCAGAATGATTTGAATGTAAAACAATGCATGCAAAGTACTTTTTTTACCAATGGACCAATGGATATTATTTTCATTTTACTTCTGAAGTCTAATCTGTGATATTATGCAGCTTTGATGCTTTCATTGTAGACTGACTGTTTTTTTCTTTTTGCTTGCAGACATTGTTAGCGTCTTTTAAACTTATTTCGATTACTGATTCCTTCATGTTTCTTTTTATTAAGTACTTTCATTGGTGAAAGAGGTTTTTTTATTGAAGTTAGAAAATGACATTGGTTTCTCTGAGTTTTTGAAGTATTTGTCCCTTCAAATGCACCAAAAAACACTTACATGGAGAGAACAGCACTTTTGTTTGTCTGTAACACATGGTTTGCAAAAGACGCAAAGAATGCAAGAAATGCATGAAGGCGATTTATTCTGATCCAATGAGAAATGCATTATGGTCTAAGAAATGCATGTATCACCAAGAAAACGCATACACAAATTATACATTGCACCAAAAGTTACTGTGAAAAACGGCAAACGCTCCAATTCGAGAAAAAAAAACAAATTACATGAGAACCTCAAGTTCTATAAAAATCATGCTAAGCATGCAGAAGAAAATGACAGACTTCAGCTATATAAAGAAACATATGTTTTTTATAAAAAGAAAGTTGTTGCAAAGAAGAACCTTTATTTTAAAAACCGCATTCAGAGTGAGTTAATCGAGGAGTAGCTTGTCAGATGTTGTAGAAGTCTGTCTGATGAGAGCGGCCAGTGGTGTGAGAAAGCTCCATTGTGCCAAACTCTGTAAGGAGTTAAAGCACAGTGGCGCAGAGACAAAGACAACACTGTCCTGAAGAGGGAGGAGAGGAGGAAGACAGAGGAGAGCTGCTGGGAGAGACAGATCACAATTACTGGAATCTGACAGCTGAAATGAGAGACTTTCCAAAGCTTACAGATGATGAAGAATCCCGTTCAGGTTAGATTATGTTCATCTCAAGAGTGCACATGGACTTTCGAACTTCAAGCACTTGTTCTTTTAACATTTTTGTGCTCTTTGTGCAACCCAGTATATAGTGAACTGAATGCAGAGCCTGAGGGTTTTAAAGGCTCCGAGTGCCTCTTTTGTCCCATGCCAAATGCACAAGTCAAGACTAATTCTTTGAGCACAGGACTAATGTTTTCAAACACTGTATGACACATTACTGGTACTATTCTGCCATTGCATTTTGTTTTTGCATGCGTTCATTTAACTGTGGACACTTTTGGTCCTCTGGATTTGAACTTCCATACACAGCTTTCTTAAAACACACTTTTAACACTCTCTCTTCGGCAACTATAGTATATTCACCACCGTGTTATTTACACTAAAGGCCCTATTTTCACACCTGTGTTAGATGTGCCCATGCACAAACAATTATACAACTGTCGTGAAAGCATTAAATACAATTTATCTGCCATTGCAACAAGCAACTGGGCATATGTGGGTGTATATGGAGGAAGCCCACGTAAATGAAGCACAGCAAAACTTAACTTTCAGAAACTTTTCTTGCAATTTTCAAGAACCACATCAAATTTCTAAAAGTCCAAACTTGTCTGTGCATTTGCAGTTGGATTCCATGTCTAAACCTGACATCTTCGTTGATCAATATGATAAATGGCTAATTGCGATCAAAAACAGCCTTTGCATTTTGCCTAAAATTACATATTTAATTTTTTTGGG